ATTCTACGTTTTTATGTCAGTAACAGTTGCAAATAAATACAAGTGCACGACGACAGAGGGAAAAGAAAAAGACTGAGACGGTCCGGCTTTAGTTTCTTGTGTACCAACACTTATTAAAGTCACTTTCGGTGCAATACACCAATGTCATGCGAAAAAGCCCCCTACTGATGACAAACACAAGGAAGGAGCTGGGAGCTGCAATGGAACCATGAACAAAACATATTTTGGCCTTCGATTACACACATGTGCATTAGAATGCAACAAATTTTGGCCTTCACTTAGATGCATGTGCATAAGCTGTATAATAACGAGTACCAGTCTGGTCACTGCTATCTAAAATGTTTACTGCCAATCAGTAGAGCTAGCTGCTTATGATGCTACTCTGATGACTGAAACTTCTGATAATTCAAACAAGATCCTGAGATCCTCTAGTTTGAATTATCGAGCCTGATTGTGTGATGAGCTACGTGACGGCTCTACCTCAGACCCAGGCTACTGTTGTGTACCCAACGCAAGCAGTCATGGCCACTTCGACTGCCATGGCTCAGTTGCAGCCACAGCAGATACAGCAATTACAGCAGCAGCAACAGCTGCAACAACATTTGCAGCAACAGCAGATACAGCAGCAGCAATTGTTTTTGGGACGTTAAACCCCACATATCAATCAATCAATCAGCAGCAGCAATTGCAGCAACAGCACCTCCAGCAGCAACAACTTCAACAGCAACTTCAGCAACAACAGCTACAGCAACTGCAGCAGCAACAGATTCATCAGGCTCAGCAACAAGCTCAGCAACAGATGCAGCAGCAGGCACAGCAGCAAGCAGAACAGCAACTTCTTCAACAACAGCAACAAGCACAACAGTTACAGCAACAGCAACAAGTGCAACAATTACAGCAGCAACAGCAGCAAGCACAGGTAGCCTTTCTTCAAGCATCCCAGCTTGCACTTCAGCAGCAGCAGTTGCAACAGCCTTATCAGGTGCGTTGATCAGCATGGTGATGACTTTGTCATTGCTTTCTAACAGCTTGTTCATGTTTGGTCATATTGCCACGTGATCGTGGCAATATGCACAGAAAGGCCATCACAGGAGTTTTTGCTATTTTCTCTGAACTTTTGTTTGCCCAAGTAAATGTTTGTTAATGTCTTTTTGTTCTGAATGATAGGTTAATTGTTTAGGACATTGTCTTTGGATCTGCACTCATACTGAGGTCTGTCGCCAACAAGGAGGTTATACTAAAACTTCTGGAGTGGCGGTCCCGCATAGCCGCCAATGTATCGAAGTGAAGCCGCGGCGGCCATGTTGCTCAGGGCAGAAGGCGGTGGCGGCTGCCTTGTAGCGCCGTACTGCTGTGGTCGCTGGCAGCCGTGCGTTTCGTTATAGCTACTAAAGCACCGGTTTATTATTCTTAGGCAGCGAGGGAACGTGGGAGTGACTCTAATTCATATATGCTTTAATTTTTCTTTGACACTTAGCGTTTTAGGCGTGTTTAAAAAAGAAAAAAAAAAGCCAGGCATGCACGGAACGCGCAGCACAGTCGCACCTAAAGCTAGAAAAGCGGTCTTTCAGAGCATTTTGTAAACACTCTTTGGGATGCTACAAGCACACTACTGCTGTGTACCCACAGCGCCTTAAATATTAATACACTTTGTGTAGTAGGCCAGCATTCACTATGCTATCTTTCGTCGTTCTTTAGAGAAGCGTACGCAGTATCCGCTACACACTTGTTGGAAAGTTTGTGCAGATTTTTTTAAGCAGTGGCTGATGACGATGAAGAAATATGCGTGAAGTGGGCATGCGGCACAGTTAAAGGGTGGTAAAGAACAAGTTTTCCAATGAGTTGGAGCATTAGACGACCCAGTCGTTGAGCAATTCGTATTGTGTGACACCTGGCTGTCTCTTCAACGTTATAAAACGCTTTCTTATTCCTTTCCCGACATCAAGTCTGCCTATGGCCAGTTTAGAAACAAGTTACAAGCACTGGCGTGGCTCAGTGATGGAATACTGGACAGGCACGCAGAGGACCTGGGTTGGAATTCCATTGTGTTATTGATGTTCTTTATTTACCGAGTTTTTTTTTTTGTTCTATACTGGTTAGGGGCGGCGGCGGATAACTACGGCGTCGCAAGTGACCTTTGTTCTGACCTCATGACTGTCGATGTGAAAAAAAATTTGTACTGGGGGATATCGATTAGCAATATATGTTTACACAGTTGCCTCACAGCAGAAGTGACCAGTTAGCAGATGCAAGGAAAGTATAAGTTTCACTCACACGCAACCATTATCCCTTGGCGAACAATAGTGCAGCGTGTGTGCAAACTGTTTATTAGGGGGGGGGGGGGGAGGGGAGTGTCTTTTACCTTTTCACGTACTCGTTTATGAAGCTCCTGGATATACAGGGAAAACAATGCTTGGAAAACTTGCAATCGTCCCTCTGATGATACGTTCTGCTCCATAATCTGGTCGAAGAAATTTCGAGAATCATCAATGCATTTTAAAAGGCCCCATTGGTACTGCTGCGTACGATGTCGTACCCTTCTTTTTCAGCTGTTAATTGTACCTTGCTCGTGATTTTTTTTCAATTTTTGTTTTATTTTTTGTTTTTTGCTTGTACCAATCCCTTGTGTGTGAAGTTCAGGGGTGGCGGGATTTTGACAGCTCCATCATGATGGAGCTGTCAAAATTCACACACAAGGGAGCTTCACACACAAGGGATGTCAATGAGAGGAGCTTTAGGCGAAAGTGTACTTCCCTGCATTTTCAATGGAGCTCGTTTCCTTTTTTCTCCTGCATAAAGAGAAGCATATCGCAACATATCAGAAACTTTGAGACTGGGAGCGTAGTACTTATGCAAATATAAGAAGCTCGAAATCCCGGAAACGCAGAGCCAGTGCTACATTAGCTACCTTTCGAAAGCGAAGTGCACACTTTCGTTAGGCACACTCGCGTACTGGCTTTCGTAAGTGCGCATGGAAACGATGCAAACACGCTAGTAATTTTATAAGCCCGTCGTCTCGCTATGTACCTTGTCTCATCGAAGCAGCATGCTTCAACATGTGTACTAAACATCATTCGTCATTATTTGTTTTTTCGGCGCTTAACCTTTTTCCCCTCATAGAACACTCTCATGTGCCGCGCATTACGACGTCTTCGGAACCCTGAAACGTACAAAAAATTTATTCCAAGTATCTCTGTGCACCCGGACGTAAAAAGGAAGTATATGTAATCGCAAATGCAGTCGTATTCATGAACCTATGCGAAGAAAAGCGAACGGGCGAAGCGTGCCTACGTGCACATCAAAGGTTGTACCCGGTGTCCGCTTCACATGATTCGCGCTGCCAAATGCTACCCAGGAGCCCACCATCGTCGTTTTTAATGTCATCACTGACGTGTTCAAAACCTTCTTGTTCAATTAGAGGCATCACGCGCAACATTACTGGCACTAGAACAACGCGAAAGCCACGTACGCTACAATGCGCCCATCCGCTTTCTGCCCTGGCCAATATGGCGGCGGTAAGCTTCAGCCACGGAGCCCCTCCGCCACTCCAGAAGTTTTAGTATAACCTCCTTGGTCGCCAACTTCGCTTGTCGAGACTCTTCAGGGAGACTCCTGACGTGCATTAAACAATTTTCTTTTTCCTGACTTTCCGGGCTCCTTGTCACGTCCCTTTGCTAGCTTCGGTTTATGCATACAAACTTTGTCTTAGGATGTTACGTAGGAAGCACCTCCCTGAAATGAATCTTTAGATTGGGTTTTTATTGAAATATTTATTAGAAATTAGGTACTATTAGAAATTTTAGTTTGTCTGCACACTTCTTGCTGTTGTTTTTGTGGGTTTCTGGAGCCATTGACAGGTATGGCTGAGTTAGCGGGAACAACTTGTGGCGCTTTGTCTAACTGTGATACTTAAACGTAAATTTTCAGTTGCTTCGATGTTCTTGTCCAAATAATTAATGTACTGCAAGCGGATGTGTATATAACTGGTATTAACGCCAGCGGTTGGGAAAAGTGTGCAAGTCATATGAGCTTTGTGAGTGTTTAGATAGGTTCTGTGTCACCAGGTGACGTTGCCAACGTTGCCCATCATGTGTACATCTCCAGCAACTTATGAAAATTTCCTTGGTAACAAGTCAGTGCATAAGTAAAATTCTCTTATAAACTGCCCTGTTACCGTGTCACCAACACTAGAGCTTCATAACCGACATGGTCTCTCCTCCTTTGCAAGCATTGGCAAACAATGTTAAATGACTGTATAATATTCTGATATTTTTCGCACTGTGCGTTTTCTGTGGAATAATGGTTTTCTGTATAAATTAATTGTTGGTTTACTTGGTCTGGCATAACTGGCTTAGAACAGTTTGTATAAATTTATCAAAGCAGTTACTGCTCCTGCTTTGCATAGTGGCATGAAATGAATATTTCTCTATACTCAAGGCTGCCAAGGCTGCAATGATTTACCTAATATTACATAAATTTAAGTTCACCCCTGCAACAAGTTTTCAGTATGCATGCTCAAAAAGGTAAATTGCCTCTTTTCTGTTATTATTCTCATATGTCATTTTCTGCCGGTATTGTTAAAAGCTCTGAATTTGAGCTAACTAAGCAACAAAAAAAAACAGAGTAAAAAGCTTTTTGAACGTCGTTTCTACGCCGCCGGCGCCACCGCTGGTGATTTTAGCTGGCGTGCTCGAAGGACTTATACTAGTACAACGAACACCTACCACTCACGGAGGAAGGAATACCTTTTTCCTTCCTCCGTGCCTACCACTCCTCCTTGAAACGAGCCCCACGCCGCCGCCGGTCGAAACCGCCTCGGCGCACACCTCTACAAGTGGGGTTATACAATATCAACGAGTCAAAAACATGGCCTCCGAGACAGCGAACAGATGACGTCGAGATGGCAAGTACGTGGCATGCTTACAATTTCGGAGGCCATATTGAAAGGATAGAGGAAAAAAGGAAAGGAGCGGGGCCTCTACAGCTGTCACATGACGAGTCGGCGTAGTCAGCTGCTGCGGCCTCTATGGTTCAAGTAGCGGGACTGGCGGTGCCCGTTTCTTCTCGTTTTTTTTTTTATGTCAATGACCAGCGAACAGGGAAAAATACGTGCCATCAACGCTGGTGATGAGCTGGGTTTATATCAAGACAGCGACGAGCAAAACCTGCCCGACGTAACGTTTTCAGTGGGCACATCGAGCAACGCATCGCGTACGCGTGAGAGTCAGCCTCTTCTTCGTCGGATGGAGCCCGATCTGGGGACCACGGCAGATACCTTCCCGGACGACCCGCAGTTCGCTAACGTCGTTCGGGAGGCCATCACAGCTATTGAGACGGGCATTTATCCAGAGCGAATATACCAGGGATCGAGCGGAAGCTACTTTGTCAAGAACTGTGAACGAACGGTAAGCCTAAGCCGCTGCCTGCCTACAGATGTTTATATCGCGGACCCGATGCTCTTGGCACTCTTCCCTGGGTGATGCTACTGTCATTCAGCTTGCGATTGTCAAGCGTTACCGTCTTGCGAAGTAGCCTATTTTGCGTGTTGGTGGCGCCCATATTCCCCCATTGCATTGTGCGGTGATTACCTTATCGAGCCGGTCATCCGTCGTCTTTACAGAAAATCGCTGTGTACAAACCAAAGGATGAAGAACCGTACGGCAGACTGAACCCCAAGTGGACGAAATGGATGCACAAGCTTTGTTGCCCGTGCTGCTTTGGAAGGAGTTGTCTGGTGCCCAACCAAGGCTACTTGTCCGAAGCAGGAGCGTCGCTAGTGGATCAAAAATTGCAACTGAACATAGTACCGAAGACCAAGGTGAGCACACCTGGCTCGCTCGTCGCGTTCACTTACGACCCTTTCGTCACCCAGGTGGTCAAGTTGGTGAGTGAAACATTCAACTACTCGGCTCTAGACCGCACCAAGGCACGAACGAAAAAGAACGTCACAGAACGTTTCCCGAAAGTTGGTCGACATTTTCATCGCATTGGTTTGCCTCCCAAGGTTGGTGTGCGGGACCGGATTTTATAGTTGGTGACCTGAGACGTTTCGGTTATCTTTATAGGTGGGATCTTTCCAACTGTACGTGGAAGGCTATCAAGATGCTGACTACTGGCTGCGGAAGTTTGAGTCGGAACCGCTACCCGCTGATCTTCAGCGCATTTTCCAGTTCCAGTTCGAGCGGCTAGTGGTACTGGATTACATTATTCGTAATACAGGTAAGTCGGTGTGCGATGGCACTTTGTCATTTATTTGAATTATGCCCTTCCTACTCAGACTGGACTAACTGACGGGTCAGTGTTCTGGCTTTTTGTCAATTATTCTTTATATCTTGTGATATGGTTTTCTAAATGAATTCCTCAGTTGACATTAAATTTCCCAATGTAAGGGGGTTTAATGTCAAACAGTGAGCAACCGTAGTAAACAATCTACGTGATGTCCGCATCAAGATATGCTGACATTTCACAATATGCACAAAGTCCCTCTTTCACATTTTTCAACAGCTTTGATGCTTACTCAACAAAGAAGCTTTAGAAGTCCACCGCCTAGCCTACCTACATTTCTCAGACTTTTTCTTAAACTTGCCTAGACACACTCGAGACATTTTCAGGTCGTTTTTCTCTTTGATGTTGTTTTTATACAAAAAATTTGTTATAAAAGTTCTGTGGCTGCAAGGCTGCAATAATTTTCATACAAACTCTATGCTGAGGTAGAACTACTTTGCGAATCTAAAATGTTGATGGCACTAATTACAAAAACTTGTTATATAACTGTTTAATTATTTAATTATGGCCAGTTTTCACACATTGCAACATGACAATGTTGCAGTGTGTGAAAATTTATGGCATACCTATTCTTTAGAGTCACGAAAGTTGTATTTATTTATTTATTTATTTATTTATTTGCAATACTGTCGACTCCAATGTTGGAGTCATTACAGAGGGCACATTGCAGGTAGTATACATTCATGAAGAACAAACAATAACATTCCAACTGACATACATAAGCCTCACCCAGTACCTTCTGGCCTGCTACAGTGCGCCGTGCAAAAAAGAAAAAGAAAAGAGAAAAATAGCAAAGGTATGTGAAGCATTGAAGCACTACTGTAGATTACGCATGGTTTCTAACACTGCGGTGAATGTGAATAGTGTGTCGGCATTAGTAGCATTTGCATTCAGTTTATTCCATTCGCGTATTGTTAGTGGGAAAAACGATTTTCCAAAGACGTCACTGTTTGAGGAATATTCTTGCAGACTGTATTTGTGCTTATGACGAGTAGGGCGTGACTGTGAAAATGTGACGTACTTAGACACATCTACCTTGTAGTGGCCATGTAACAACTGGTACAAGAACCTCAGGCGTGCCTCTTTTGCCCTAGTAGCTAGTTTTTCAGTGCCAGAAGAAGCCAGAAGGTTAGTGGGAGAATCTGTACGTTTGAACTTGTTGTGTACAAACCGTATGGCTTTGCGTTGTACTGCCTCTAATTTACTAATACCACTTAGCGTATAAGGAAACCAAACTACGTTGGCATATTCTAATACTGGTCTTACGAACATGGTATAAGCCAAGAGTTTTGCGGGCGCTGGTGCAATTCTAAGTCGTCTTTTTAGGTAGAAAAGTTTACGCATTGCGGCCGCAGTGACGCTAGCTATGTGTGTATCCCATCTCAGGTCAGACGTTAATGTAATGCCTAAGTACTTATGCTGCACAACATTAGTCAGTGGTGAACCATGAATGGTGTAGGTGAATTGCGATGGATTCTGCTTACGTGTTACCGTCATAGCTGCGGATTTTTTCACATTGATGGACATTTGCCACTTAGCGCACCAATCTGCTAGCTTGGTTAGACATTCATTGAGATTAATGTGGTCTGTGTAGCTGGTTACCTCCTTATAAATAATGCAGTCATCCACAAACAGTTTGATATTACAGTTAATGTTTGACGTGAGGTCATTTATGAAAATTAAAAATAATAGTGGTCCCAAGACGGAACCTTGAGGGACCCCAGAAGTTACGGGGACTATGTTTGATATATGACCTTCATGCTGCACGAACTGTGAGCGATTTGTTAGGAAATTTTCAATCCAAGAAAACAATAACCCCTCTCCTATCGCACTTTTCAGTTTAATTAGTAACTTTCTGTGACATACGCAATCGAAAGCCTTAGAGAAATCAAGTAAAATTATGTCTGTTTGGCCACGATTATTTATGGTAGAAGCTAGATCATGAACTACCTCCGTTAGCTGCGTAACAGTGGACAGGCCACTACGAAATCCGTGTTGATTAGGAGACAAAAATTTTATTTTCTCGAGAAAAACAGTTATGTGTTTGAGGATGATATGCTCTAGTAGCTTACATGAAATGCTAGTGAGGGATATCGGCCGGTAATTTGAAACCAATGACTGTTCTCCTGATTTATGAATAGGTATTATTTTTGCAATCTTCCAGTCATCTGGCAGCTGGGATGAAGTAAGCGACTTTCGAAAGATTAACCCAAGAAACTTGCTACACCATTCCGCGTACCTCTTAAGGAACTCGTTAGGAATATCATCTGGACCACTCGATTTTTTAGGATCTAAGTTAAGAAGCAAGTTCAGTATTCCTGTATCTGTGACTTCTAGGTGATCGATGCTTGGCGAATCGAGGGATAATACTGGAGGAGTGGCACCATTATCAGTCGTGAACACTGATTGGAAAAAAATGTTGTATTCATTAGCCTTTTCCGTTCTTTCCCCTGAATCCGTGTGCGACTGTGTATTATTGCTAGTGCGAAGGTATCTCCAAAATTTGCTTGGATTGCTTTTAATAAAGCTTGGAAGTGTAACACTAAAATAATATTGTCTGGCAGTTTTATTTTTTTGCTTAAAACTCTGATTTTGCACACTGCAGCTTCTGTTGAATGGATGATTTACACTTATGGTTTTTTGCAGCCACACGCAACCTTTTTAACCCTACGCTTGGCCTGGATAACCTCACGTGTTATCCAAGGATTATTCCCTGGAGATTTCTTGTGTTTCTTTGGTATGAAGTTAGTGACACAGTACATAACAGTAGATTTGAAACTTAGCCAGAGTAGATTAGTATCACTGGATGTGTCAAAAGCTAGCTGCAAAAAGTTTTCTAACTCATGTGCGAGATGGGTTAATGCGCTGCTAGCGTCAGCTTTTTTGAAATAAATTACAGTTGATCCACGCTGCTCACACGCAATACTGGAGTCAAGCGGCAGCAAGCATATGACTATGTGATGGTCTGATATGCCGTCAACTACGTCAGTGCGAACACAGTCTTCCGGGAAGTGCTGACTAATCAGTATCAGATCTAATATGCTCTCGGCAGTGTTCTGTAAGCGGGTTGGAGATAACACGATTTGTTGAAGGCTAAAGTTCAACATTATGTTTATAAGAGCGTGCGAGGCAGATGTGTGGTTTAGCGTAGTCCAGTCAATGTCTGGGAGATTAAAATCTCCCATAAGCAGGACACGAGAGTTGCGAACATGACGCTGCATGAAGTCATGAACTGCAGTTATGCATTCGTGTCCGGATGACGGACCTCAATAAACGCATCCAACGAATATAGAAGTGCTATCGCAAAGAATCCGGCAGAAAATTGCCTCAGCATCTGTTACAGCTGAAAGCGATACATATGAATGGCATTTCTTTATGAGTAGAGCGACGCCCCCGCCACGAGAAGGTCTATCCTTACGGATAACGTAATAATTTGGAGGAACAACTTCACTATCGTATATCTCGGAAGAAAGCCATGTTTCAGTGACACCTACTATATCAGGACTGTATTCTAGTAGAAGATTTTCGAGAGCATCTATTTTGTTTAGAACACTTCTTGCGTTAACATTCAATATAGTCAAGGCTTCGATTTTGCGTGTAGACGAGCTTGCCGAGTTTGCAGTCTTGATCGCACCTCGTCCTTTTTTTGGGCGAGAACCTTGTCGTTAACACAGATAGAATTTGATTATAGATAATCATTAACTTTTAAAGGGACCCTGGGACACTTTTCGGACGACCTTATTTAGCGCCGCAACGCGTGTAGTGATGGTTTCTGAGATGAATGCAACAAACATTATTGAAGTTAGTGCACGGGAAGTGAAGTGATGAGTTTTCAAAGTTCAAAACCTGAGCAGACGACAAGGAGAAACATTCTCTTTTGCATTTCACTCGTCTGCTGACGTCAAAGACCAAATCGCAACACGCGTCTCATATAGACATACTGGAAATGTCACCTCACAGTGGCCTTCCCACAATACCTCGCTACTGCTCTTTTTGATGGCAATATAATCATAGTTACTAGGAATCACGTGCGTCAGGTATCAGACGCTCCTACGGTCAAACTGTGTAAGATACACCTGCAACGCTTTGGGTGGGGTCACTTCTCGACTCGCTTGCAAGACGCATTCTACGGTAACGCCAGTGCCCACCGCCTGTCGCATTTTTGGCTCGCTAAAAATTTAGCATGCGTTGCCACCTTTAGTTTGTAGTGTACCATAGCTTCGTTTGCAGTCTAAGTGTCGTGTTTGTTGTTCTGAAAACACATAATTCAGAAAGAGGAATGATTTCTTTCTGAGAAAGTGTAATGTTCTTTCTGAGAAAGTGTAAAAAAAAAACGCCAGGCCTGCACGGAAGGCGCAGCACAGTCGTAGCGAAAGCTAGAAGAGCGGCCTTTCAGAGCCTTTTATAAGCACTCACTGGGTAGCTACGGCAAGGAACTTGCTTGATACTCAATAGGTCATTATTGATAAATTTATTTGGGTAACAGGCCAGCATTCGCTATGCTATTTTTCGTCATTCTTCTGAGAAGCGTGGTATCCGCTGAACACTTGCAAGGAATTTTGTGCCAATTGTTCATGCAGTGGCTGATGACGATGAGGAATTATGGCTGAAGTGGGTATGCGCCACAGTAAATAGGGGAACAAGAACAAGCTTTTGTGACAGGTTGGAGCATTGGATGGCCCACTCGTTACGCTATTCGCATGGTGCGACGACTGGTTGTTCTTTCGCAGTTTCAAAACGCTTAACGAGTCGTATTAACGTGATTGCTTTTCCGACATCAAGCCTACCCAAGGCAAGTTTGACAAGTCACAAGCACCAGTATAGCAGTGGTAGAATACTGGGCTGGCCTCCAGCGGACCCTGGTTCGAGCCCCACTTTGTCATTGGTGCTAGGTCAAGTCTGCCTAAGGCAAGTTTGACAATAAGTTACAAGCA